ACTTTGTTTTGGATGACAGGTTGTAGCACTCCACCATCGAATTTATGGGCACGTTCCCGAGAAGTGCATCGCGTAAATTTATTGGCAGGGGCAATGGTTGTTCATCGACACGAAACATCGAATTTGATTAATAAACTAACAGTAAAAATAATAACATTAAACTTACATTGTAGGAAAATCCTGATTCGGAATAACGAATTCATTATTATTCTTTTTCCGCCTTGAAAATTCTTTATCATTCAAAAAGAAATTTAAAAAAATGAATGCCAAATTAAACATTACCTATTCAATACGTTAACCCTTTTTGGTACAAAATATAACTCATACTGATTATCATTATTTCAAATCAGAAGGACATGGATTTTAAGTGAATGGAAATGCTGAATACCAAAAATCAACATGAAAAAAAAAACTCAGTAAAAGGATATGTGTGTGAAAAAACATCCTACGATTTATTAATTATGCTTAATTTATATGTAAGCAATTATGATGTGATTGCTGCAGTTTCTTTGCCCACCCGGTTGCATATGCATGTGTGTAAATATGCATATGTGTGTATAATGCACACGTAGGTATAACGGCGGCATGATCCTCTATTCCTCTCCGAAGAGTAGTGATGCCAGGCGAGCCTTGGCTGGGCGGTTATGGTGGGTAGGAGTGGTGGCGGTGGCCCGATCAATGGCTGGGCGGGTGGTGGCGGTGGTGGTGGTATCGGCTAACGGTGGAATCACGGTTTAAGATAGACTGGTTGCGCGTCGAACGAAAAAATAATGGCTGGAGAAAGTGCTCGTATCAATTTACTAGCTCTTGACGCGATCTAGCGGTCATATTCATAATCTAGAAGCTATTATTATTTCAATATTGATGCTTCTTTTTTGCTCGCCGCATCAAAATACATAATATTATGTGCATTGTGCACCACGATTTTTTATATTATATTTAAATTCTTTCTTTTTTTTTAAAAAAATGTCTAATAATTACTGTTGTATTTGTAAACCACATGAGCAATCCAAAACATCATTTGGTGTTCCAAAAATTGAAAGTGAGCGTAATAAATGAGAAGAACATTTAGGAATGACATTAAAAAAAAAACTCATCGTGTTTGCCTACAGCATTTTAAAGAAACTGATGTAATAAGTAAATGGGAAAGTGGCAAAGGAATCAACAAATATTCAGTAAGATCACTAATGCACAGAACTGAATAGTTTCAAACTAAATTATATTGACAAAATCATAATTACTTAACAATAATACCTAATATTAACTACAACCGTATAAAATATAAAGTAGAAAAATATTTTAATTTTCTTAGATTTGTTTGAAAAGATTCAGACTTAAGGATGGAGCTCTACCATCTATTGAAAATTGCAACGACGTTTTGAATGAAACGGTCTGCGAAACAACTAAAAATATAAATAATGTGAGAATTTCACAATAATTAAATATTTAATACACAAATGGTAAATATCATATTATGTTTAGGCATTGGTAACAAGCCCCAATTTCAATGATGCCCCATTGGGAACTAGATTAATTACATCCCCAGAGTTAAAAAGAAGTAAAGTAATTACATAGCTATTATTAAAATAAATATTACTTAAAAATATCCAATTAATAGTACCTATAATATAATTAGAAATATACCTACTATTATAGTTTATTTCACTTATTTAGATCTCTGAATCTCATTCATTATTTCAAGTAGTTTTTATGGCATTAGATAGTGTAAAAATTCCACCAAATTGGTTCAAAACCCTGGAATCGATCAAAAATAATTATGTTAATGTATTTCATAAATTAAGTCCATTGAGAACTGATTACACCAGATACATAGAAAAACAATTAGTCAACTAATGGTAAGTAAAAAAGGACAGGAATTAAACAATAATTAATAAATGATAATTACTATAATGTAATTTGAATACTTAAATGAAATGTTAATGATACTCGGTGATTATCATCATGTCGATAAAAATTATTGTATTAATTAATTAGTTAGTTACCATAAACATTACCAGTTTATTAATTGTTTTCAAACAATTGTTATTAGATTCTAAAATTGTTATACATGCTATCGGTAAACATATTAACGATGCAGAATTTTGTCTGGATATTAATAAAATGCAGTCAGTTGAAGACATAGAGTTACTTCTGTCAAAACTTGATGCCAAAAGAACTTGTCAAGGGGTTACATTTTGTTCTTTATTATCTCCTGATATTAAAACATCTTTTGGGTATAATTTGTTAAGTCAAATGGACAGTTGCGGCATGTTAACTGTACTGTAACATTAGAAAATGATGAAGAAGAAAACAATGTTAATAATATTTAATAAAATAATCAAAGTAATTATAATTATTGGATAATATTTTTTTAGATAGACCTAGATTTGAAATTAACATTTACACGCCAAGAACATAGAAGTGAAATATTGACCAGTATATTTGTAATGTACATTACAATGCGAAAGAGGCAATATTCATACCTGGCTAACCAAGAAACAAAAAAACAAAACAAAACAAAACAAAATTATCAAAATAAGTCAATACCTAATAAAATAAACAACATATTAATATAAAATATAAAATACTTACTTAAAATTAAGTACTTTGTTTAATAATTAAATATATTTTCAAGATCTCAGTATTTCACATGTATAATTATTTTTTAATTCTTAATCCCTTACCTACTTATACAACTAATTTAAATATGTATACGTCTTGTGTATAATTTTTGTATTAGTTGTAACTTGTATTTATTATTTAAGTGCCTAATTAAATATATAAGGAATTTATTTGCTCGATTTACTTATTAAAAATGTGTATGATAATGAGTATTTGACAAAATGCAAAAACGTGAGGTGGAACTGCTACAGTGAGTTTAGTAAAATATATAGAAATCGACGCTAGATGGCACTGTCAGTAAATTGATATGAGTACATTTCATAGTCATTAAGCTTAACATACGACGACTCGCAACCAGTCTATCTTAAACAGTGGGTGGAATAGACAGTGAGTCGGTGAAGAGGAGAGGTGGCGGAGGCGGTGGACAACACCCAGGGGGCCAATTCTTGAAATCGTGACAAACTTTGTCGCATGCGATAAAATTTTTGTCGCATGAAAATAAATATTTGGTATTCTTGAAAAGATATATGACTTTAGTCGAACGAAAAACATTCGACTGTTTGTCTACTGGGTATAAGTCAGTGACAAAGTTTAGTCGCATGATAATGTATGAAATGTGATAACAATTTTCACATTATTGATTATATTATTGATTACACAACTATTACAACAGAAATATTATTACAGATTTTCATCGATCATCAATAATCAATTTGTGTTTTGTTAATTACTTTCTATTAATCCGTAATTATTTTCCTTTCTTCTATTATAATGGCAAATTTTGATGAAATGGCAATGTTATTTGCAATTGATAATATTGAAGAGCATGAACGTGCAATGAATGTACGACAAATACGAAGGAAAGAGACAATTTCAGATCCATTTGATACATCAGATAGACTGTTTATAAAAAATTTTAGACTTACTAAAGACCTTGTAAAGTATTTAATTGAACTTTTACGACCATTTATAGTTTCAAAAAGCCGCCTGTCTGCTATAGATTTAGATACAAAAGTTAGTGAATAAATTACAGACACTAGTTATCAGCATTACCTATATTATTGTGTAAATATATTAGATTCTAGTAACGTTGAATTTTTTGGCTACTGGATCATACCAGTCCCCAACTGGTAATAGTAAGTTTATAGTCTTATCACAACCGTCTGTATCTCGTTGTATAAGTGAAGTTGTAGAGGCACTAAACCGGCCAGAAATATTTGACAAATGGGTTAAGTTTCCTAGTAACCTGAATGAGCTGACTGAAATCCGTAATGGGTAACTTTTAAATTTTTTTTCAAATATTTCTAATAAATGTTTAATAAGATGTCTAATATTATTACAGTTTTTATAGAGAAACTGGATTTCCTGGAGTAATAGGATGTATTGACTGTACTCACGTCGCGATTGTACCTCCTTCAAATAATTTAAATTTGAATGAAAATGAAAATCCCGAATACATTTATGTGAACCGTAAGGGATATCATTCCATAAATGTCCAATTGGTAAGTAATCTTTCAAATCTTATTTTTTTAGTATGTATTAAATATTTTAAGGTTACAGTGTAAGTGTATGCATATTGTATAACTAAATAAATAAATATTTAAACTCAACTTTAGATTTGTGATTCAAAATTAAGAGTTTTAAATGTGAACGCACTATTTCCTGGCAGTACCCACGACACCCATATATGGAACAATAGTTCTGTTTTACCAGTAATGCAGGAATTACACAGACGCAATCATCATAACTTTTATTTATTAGGTAAAATACACTCTTAACATTGTATTTGAAATATAAATGATAAATTGTTTCTAGTTAATAATATATTTATTTAAAAATATTATTAGGTGATTCCGGATATCCCTTACGTCAATGGCTATTGACACCAATTACAAATCCTACAACAGACCCTGAAAAATATTACAACCAAAAACAAATGTCAACCAGAAGTCTAATTGAACGTTGCAACGGGGTGTTGAAAATGCGATTTAGGTACCTAAATCTGTTTCTAATGTCCATGTTATATACAATTTTAACACCAATTTTTTTTTTTTTTATAGATGCTTATTAAAAGATAGAACTTTGCATTATAAACCAGAAAAAGCATCATCAATAATAAATGCATGTATAGTTCTACATAATATGTGTATTACTAATAATATTCCTTTGGATGAATATGACATTCCAGAGTATGATAATTTGGGTATAATGGAAGACCAAGAGATATTAGCCGACAATAATCGTAATTTAGACTTAGCTCTTGGTAGACAACATAGGGAAAAAATTGTAACATACTTATTTCAAAGACATGAATAAATTTTATTAATAACATATATTATAATACTTCTTATTCAAAATAACTGTGTGATCCTTGTTCATTATCTGCTGACTAGTTAAATTCAGTTTTTAACATTTAGTAAATTAATACATTATAAATAATAATAACAAATAAAATAAAACAAAATAATAATCTTTGGTAGACGAATACTTAAATATTAATAACAAATAAAATTAAAACCCTATTTTACCTAATCCTTTGTGGTAATTTAAAATGATTTTCAGTCTTCACTTTCTTAATATTATGGTTTTGATAATTGCTCAGTCAATGTAGTAAGTGCATTTGTTAGGTTCTTAAATATGACATTTTTATCTTCCATCAGTTTTATTTTTTTTGCATAATATGCTGCTTTCAAATCATATTTTTTCTCGGAAATACTGTATAGGTTATTTGCAGCTCTATTACTTGCAGCTAACCTAGCTGTAGTAGTCATTTTCCTTTTTATATCTAAAATATAACAAGTATTATATTACTTTACACTATGAGTATGATAGGAATGATAAAAATTTAAATATTACCTGATTTAGGTGAAAATGGTGCAATGATTGGCTGTTTATTATTGGCCGCTATCAGTTTAGGGGAAGTGATTGAATGATTATTGTTTTCATCGTCAGCTAATTATAGAGCATGTTAAAGAATAAAGCATGTTAGTATTTTATAATATTAGTATTTATTTTAAATGAATAAAATATTAAATTATCTGTGTGTATAATGTACACACATAATATAATATGTTACAAACATTTTTTTTTTATACATACATTCAATATCAGCTACTTCTTCGATGATATAATCATTAGTATCTAAAATCAGACCAAAAATATATTTATTTCTTAATAGTTATTTAATTTATGAAGTAGATTCAATTTAACTGATTTGTTACAAACTTGCCTAGTGTCACATCATTTTCAGTAATTTCATAAATAAATTCCACATTTGATTCCTTGGACTTAGAATGACCACTTACTGATGCCGGACTCATTAAAAGTAATGCATCTTGTTGAATATCGTTCAGCTGAATGGCACAAGTAGGTCCACCGCCAGTACCTCCGATATGTCGCTTAATAGCTGCAGCTTTGGTTTTTGTAGCGGATCTTGTATCTTGCCATGTCTATAATATAAAAAAGAGTGAATTTAATATTTTAATGTGGTTACAACTCAAATTTATAATCTACCATTTCATAGCTAACACAAGACATTTTAATAGAAGGTTCCCAAATAATTTTTCTACCTCTATCAAAAAAAAAAAAGATTAATGTAAAGTTATGTTATTTAAACCTATTAGATATTTTTGATTTTCATTATTTTTTCTTTTATCTATTAAAATTGATAATGTATACAAGTATGGTAGGATGACACAACGTCTCCGAATCATTTTTTCAAATGCAATTATTTATCATTGAATACAAGACATAACACATCCATTACAATAACATGCTCGAAAACTACTGTACAGCAGAGCGGTATCCACTTGTCCACCTTTTTTTATTTTTATGAAATTGCTTCAATTTTAAACTATTGCAGCTCAACTATTCAGATTGACTATGTTATTTATGTTATTGACAGTTATATAACTGATTAGAGTTGAAACAAAAAAAGATAGGATTCTAAGTGCAGTTTTATCAGTTATTAATGGCAATACAGTGTTAGAAGAAATCTCAGCAGAAATGAAAACCTTTATTAATAAAAAAGATGAGTTGTACGTTGAAGAAGGAATTATTATGTGGGGTTATAGAGTTGTCATACCAAAAGTTTTACAGGAAGGATTACTTAATGAGTTACATGGTGCACACATGGGTTAGGCATTATACAAACCGAGAGAGAGAAAAACAATTAATAATAATAGTAACACCTATAATATTCAGTTAATTAAAATAATTATGTATATTTTATTATGTAAAACTCCAAATAAAATATTATAGTTAATTATGTTTGTAATTCATCAACAGCCAATGTAATGTAGTAAAATATTCTAAATAAAGTGAAAATAAATGATGTAGGTACATGTAACTTACTTTTTTCCATTTGTCCCAGCTTTTTTCAGCTCCCGGTAACGCGTTAAGTTGTTCTGCGATAACTTCCCATTTTTGTTTAGCAGATTTTTGTGTGAAGGTTTGGGTAAATTTACCGGCACACAATAAAGGATCTTTGCTCATAAGTTCGACCAAAGTTTTCATCTGCAATTGGGTGGGCCTTGAATGCAGCTTAGACATTATAATACGTTTTAATACTAATTTAATAATATAATAAATACAAGGAACTCAATATACACTTGGTAGTATAGACACTATTGACTAAAGGTATCTAGGTAGTAGGTATAATACATACTGTAATAAAACGAAATTACAATTTTATAAAAAATTACTAAAAGTAAATTTAGCATCTTAGTGTGTTATGAACTCGACATTAAAATCAGTGATAAAAGATAAGACTTATTCTTTGCAAATTTTATAATTTATTTGAGGTTAAAATCTAGATTTTGTGTTGTTACCACAGCGGTTCATTCGATTACTTTGTCGCATTCGACAAGTGATCAAATCTTATCGATTTCAGTTCAAGAATACCTATTATTTGTCGCATGCGAGAAAATGTATGACTCATGTCGCATGCGAGAATTAGTCGTATGATTTCAAGAATTGGCCCCCTGGTACCACGGATAATAGATATACGGTCGAAGCATTTTATTGTTTGGGGGGCGTGGTTTCAAAGAGCGTGACGTCAGAATAGACCTCCGCAATCCAGCCGCTAGCCTAAACACCGTATGCGCCATAACACTATCATTGTTTAGTGTTTACCAACTAACATTGTTTCCGTCTACTTGTCGACTTATTACAAAGAAGAATAAAACAATTAATTGAACGTTAAAGTAAGTAATTATACAATATTAGAATATTAGTTGTTACAAATTACAATGTACTGTAGAAGTTTAAATAATAAATCTATAATCTATCTTTGAAGTTATTACTTACATTTATAATTACTTTACATATCTATGTAAACTGTAAAAAATTATATTATAGTAATTTATGGATCAATCTTGTTTGTAAATATGTGTTAATTATTATACTTGCACATTAAGTAATACGGTTCCTGAATTGATACCTATATAAATTATTAAAAAATAAAATGTTAACAATTAATAAATTACTGATTATTATTTTGTTGATTAGATGCCAGGAGCTAGATGTGCTGTTGCTGTTTGCTCAAATAGTTTACAGGAAACAAAAAAAAAAATTCTAACATATCTTATCATACATTTCCAAAAGATCAAAAACTATGCCATGTTTGGATTAATGCCTGCCGTAGAAAAGATAAGTTGAATCATAAGACCAGTACAATTTGTAGTGTACATTTTTTGGAAAATGATTTTGAAGTTGATTTGAGAAGCCAATTAATGAACATCAAAATAAAAAGAAAATTAAAACAAAATGGTATCAATTATTTATTATAATATTTTATTTCTTTACAATTATTAACCTTAATTTAATTTTTTTCTTTTGTTTAGCTATTCCAACACAACATTTAAAAGAGAAATATTTACCAAATGTGTTAACTAATACATTATCATCTATACAAGTACGTGCAAATATGCGTGAAAATGCAACTATTGTTCAAAGTTTAATATTAGCAACTCAAGAGAATAAAGATATAGCAAAATAAGATGAAGATAAAGTACACGAAGAGTTGCTTACTTTAATTAATGAATCAATTGAATATAAGTACCAACAATTACTTAACGACCATGACGAATTGAAAACGAAGTATAAACATTTATCTCAATGCAATAGATTTCAAAAAAATTGTGTTAATACTTTGAACAAAAAATGTAATATTCTTTCTCAAAAATTTGGGGAACAAGCTTCGCAAACTCATATCTTAAATGAATCTTTAAAAATAGTGTTCAGTCAAACACAATTACAATTAATAACTAAAAAGAAAAAAAAAGTGATTTGGATGTTGAATATTGTATGTGAATATTGTATGTGATTGTAATATTAAAATAATAGTATTTAAACTTTATTATAATATTTTTTTACTTATATTAATTGTTCCTGATTCTTAATTAATTAATGTAAATGTGTAAATATGATAATATATATGTATAATGTAAATATGATGTAAATAGGTATTTATTATACTTTTATTTGTGTAAAAATTATTAATTGTTTATATATTATATTTGACATTTGTAAGATTAAAGTTTGAACTTGTAAATTCTTGTTTTATTAATTTTGCACAATTCGTTTCAAATACATTATTATTATTAAATGTTTGTATTATAAATTTATGTTAATGTATGTATGTAAAATAAAATTCACAAAGCTAAAATCAGTTAATTTTAAATATATCAGTCTCTTAAATCACTCAATACTATTCATTGATATCCATAATATTTTATATGTTTAAGTACGTAATTAAAATATTGTAAACAGAATAACAATCTTATGAACCCCAGGAAATAATTCGCGATCTTTGAAAAAAAATCTCCAGAACTACAATATTACTCCTACAGTTATGACTACATAAAAATGATTGAACAATTATGTTTTGAACGTTAATTAGTGTAACTCATTATTTATTTAATTAATTACAAATATTACTCATAGTACAGGTATACTTTTCATTAAAAAAATAAAAACCAAGTTGGTATTAAAGAAACATTAAATTAAAAATCAATTTAATTTCAAAGATGAAAATATATATTGAATACGCTTGTCGTCCGTAGTATTGCCGTGCAGCCGCGAGAATTTAGGTCTATTGTGACGTCATATAACAATAATCGTTTTTAATTGGCTAGCGGTGTTTGGCTTCGACCGTATATCTATTATCCGTGCCCAGATACTACTGTCTGTGTATTCAAAATAACGATAAGCCATCACTGTAAATTGTGTTTTATTTGTATTGTTTATTACTTTTTTGCATGGTGGTGATAAATAGGCATTAAAGTTATATATCATGTCTTGAGTGCAGTGGCACAACTACAGGGGTGCTAGGGGGTGCTTAAGCACCCCCAACTCTATTTTAAGCACCCCCAAGTCCAATGTCTTTATAATTTAAAATATCTATAGTTTTATTTTTTAAGATATCATTATGTCATTTTTTTTCTTATATTTCAATATATTATTATTACTATTATAGTCATAGACATGATAAACATGGTATATGATTATAGTGAATAAGTAACATAATATCGTCATGTTGAGATTACTGAAAGATAATGTTTAGCCGGACGCGGGTTGGTGTCGCCAACCGCAGCAGGGGAACCGTAGAGAGGGAATGTTGTGGTGAGCCATCGCCACAACATTACTACATTAGACTGTCGACAGTGCTATCTTTAATCGTGACAGCGATTCAGCGATTGTAATAAATAATAACTAGAGGTCGGATTTTTATGATTTTACATATTTGTTTCTAGTTTATGCAGTTAAATGGGAGTGAGAAATCTTTACGAATCATGAAACACAGAATTCACAGGAAAAAATTTATTTTGCATAAAAAAGCATATTTTAGAGGTTAGAGAATATTTAACACGTTAGAGAATATTTGGGAATATTTTTGTGATACCCGGCATNTCAAGAATACCTATTATTTGTCGCATGCGAGAAAATGTATGACTCATGTCGCATGCGAGAATTAGTCGTATGATTTCAAGAATTGGCCCCCTGGTTTAAGAAATAAGGAGCAAAGACATTAGTTATAATAGCCGAACTTTTAGTTCTCGCACAGTGAAATTTTGGTTCAAAGCATTGTTTTATTAGCGTTGATGTACAATCCATAGAACGAAAACTATGATTTTCATTGATAGTATGAAAAGCCCATACACCTTCAGCTGCAGCTACTTCTAAATCTTTAGATGAAGGCACTGTATTTTTAAAAAAATTAGTTATTGACTTACTAGTTGAAGCAGCACAATCAGCAGACTTGTGTTTGTTAGATTTTAAATGTTTTTCGATGTCATTTACGCCTCCGTGACCTATACTAAAGGTAGAGTGACATTTTTGACAATTTACATCTGACAAATAATTCAAGTGTTTTTTTATAAATGGATATTTTTTTGCTAATTCCTCATTAAATACACATGAACGTTTAACTTTGCCCATTTTAAAAATAAATAAATAAACAATAAACTACTACTTAAGTATTAACACTTAACAGAATTATTAATAATAGAAATATAGAATATAGATACATATTACATAATAATTATGAACATTTTAGATTGACGCAATTTTAAAAATGAAACGACATTATCTCGTTATCAGTGTTATACTGTTATCACCACTTGGTCTTCATTTCTGAAACCGCGGTTATAGTCGATTTGATTATGATCAAAACCAATGTTCTGTGATAACATGCACAGTAATAAACAACATACTCGACATAATAAGTGAAAAAATGTTCACTGAAAATAAGAGTCAATTAACTATTATTTGAAATCGGGACAAAAGCGGGACGAAAAGTATAAGTCGGTACAGTTTACTGTCCCGCTTTGATCATAATATTTAGCGGGACACCTACTTGATGCTTATTTATGTTATTGACAGTTATATAACTGATTAGAGTTGAAACAAAAAAAGATAGGATTCTAAGTGCANAAAAAAAAAAACAGTTTAAATTAATTTTTTATTAATTTGGTTTTAAAAATATTTAATTAAATTAATTTTACAATAACAATTATAACTATATATTGTTCGATGTATAGTCGTGACAGCTAACGAAATAACCGTTGTGCTTTCGCAATCGATAAGGAATACCTGGAAATTAATATTTATTAAAATCCGGAAATAAATCATTTAGTGAACATTGTATTTATCAAATGCTGATATGCGTGAAATATGTTCATTATATGCCGGGTATCACAAAAATATTCCCAAATATTCTCTAACGTGT